GTGTGTAATATGTGCCTTTTTAACCTATATTATACGTTATTTGTTACTTTAGTTATTACAAAATTTCATAAAAGAATAGTAAAACAAATAATAGAACAAATAATAGAACAAATAATAGAACAAATAATAGAACAATAATACAGAATAAATAATTAAATTGTAGAAGCATTATAAATATTTATCGTTATGCATTTTCTATCAATTTATTAAGATAATTTATGTAATTTACATTAACTTGGAGTATACAATTCTTTTATAATTTTTTTATTAATCATCTAAATATACACATATGCACATATAAACCTTATATAAACCTAAAACTAATATTTTATTATTTTATATATATATATATATATAAACATAACAATCGTGTATTAACTAAATTATACATGTGCAATAATTGTAATTTAACTAATTTAAATAATAATTTCAGATTTATTATTAAGAAAACGTAAAATAACAATTTTTTAACAAAAAATTGTTAATAAGAGATTTATATTTCTCGATTGTATTAGAATTAATATAAATTTTGTCAAAGTATTTTTGACTTTATAAAGTGTTAATTAATATATTAAAGAAATGAAAATTGACTGAAATAAATTTTTTGCCTTCATGAACTATGTTTTGATATTCACTGCTAGTATTGGAATCACATATACTGATGTCACATATATTATAGATTTTTAGAGTTGACAATGAATGTCAGAACACAGCAATAGTATATCTTCATGATACTTATCTATTTGATAATGATAAATTGCATAATGATACCTGAAGACTGAACATTGAGATAATACTTTATCTTAAACATTAAATCTCTTGAAGTACAAAAAACTGTTTTATTCCTTAAAAAGTCATCCTTATTTTTTCAGAAATTGCGAAAAATATAAAAAATATATAAAAAATACATTAAATTTAAATTTGTTAAAATTCGTTTGTATTACAAATATAAATGTTTTTGTAAATAAATTCTTTCTAAATTAAATGTTATCCAATTTCAATTGGTATCATTCTTCAAAAAAAAGATGATTGAAAAATATTCCCTTTGATTTTCTTACTGTAAAAAGCCCATAAAAATAAAATTAGTATAAGAAGTTCATAAAAAAATAAAAATAAAATTAAATCGGTTGATGATGAGGCTGAGTGAGAGAGAGAGAGAGAGAGAGAGAGTGTGTGTGTGTGTGTGTGTGTGTGTGTGTACAAGCAGTTTCATTTTAATCGCTTCAGGCAAGTATTGATTTTTATTCTTGCTAATCAGGTGCCGCAAAATCGATCGCCGCCAAAGTAAAATTCGTAATTCGTAATGTTACGACACTGGTATACGTTGTCTCTCACGACCAATCCTAGAATGAACTCAGATCCGGGTACGCACGCACGCACGCACGCACAGCAGATCGACAGGGGCAAGGGGGGGGGAGATGCGCGCGCGCATCACATACACTACGATACGTTACATATCCCCTTCTCCTTCTCACTTTCACCGCTGTGTTGGATGCAGAGCGGACATGTGTATCGACTGACATGCGGTACGCTGAGAACGAGCAGCGACCCGCTGTACATATTGTACGTATGTACATACATACGTGCGTGTACGTTATCCGGGTTGCCACCAGGATTCCCACCTGCGCTTCACAGTGAACGGTCAAAGACCTGAGGCCGCTTCTTCCCTTGCGAGAGCATTCGAGTCGAGTGCGCGGTCGATTGGCACGACTCATATAGATTCATCGTTGCATAAATCATTCTAAACTCATGGATTTTCAGAATGAAAATATATATCACAGATATCGCAAATTGCAATTATTTATAATTTGAAAAAAATATTAACAGTACTTCGAAGTGGCAAAAAATGAGGAGCCAAAGGATAGAACTGGCGAAATGAATATACAAAGTGTGAGAAATATTGAATTCTAATCAACTGTCGCAATTCAAACGAATTGAGAAATATGAGATATCCAAGGAATGAAAACATAAAAGTAAATCTATTAATTTTCCATTTTCTAGCCTTATATCGCAGAATAATAGAATTTGATGAATTTAACGCGAGAAAAAGCATTTAAATTCATAATCGAATAACTTAAAGAAGAATCTATCTTTTGATAAGAAAAAGATGCAAATTAAAGAAAAATGAAAAATAAAAGGGAAGAGAGAAAAATAATAATCTTATATCTAGAAGGAAACAAATAGACATAAGGACATTTAAAAAAAAAATAAAAGATCTCAAAACACAGGTTTGTTAGTCATAATTTTCTTAAATTACTTATAGGTATTCATATTGAATTATCCCATCATATCTTAATTTGATAAATTAATAAATTAATTAACAAATAGAAACGTTATCACGTCACGGATGCTTTCGTTATCTCTTCCAAAAAAATCTTATTTATAAGGAAAAGAAGGTATTTCGTACAAGCGTACAATTTAAAATATTATATTCAGCTTCCTTTTTTCACTGTCGTTGTGTCTTTGCGAACCAACAAACCACATGAAGGTTTTTCAAAAATACAATAAGGAAACCTGAAAGTCGCCATCATCCTTTTTTCTACGTACGACCCTGACAGGTGGAAATCACGTGGCCGCTGCGACAATCACGAGGCGGTCGAGCGAAGTCCTATCGCGGGTCATGCGCGGGGAAGGGGGGAGTGGGCAGCGCCACCTCGATGTGCGACAGTGGCGGTCGCGGTTCGCGGTAGTGGGGAGGTCTGTCGCGTGAGCTATTCCATATCTCCATTCACTCTGATTCACTCACAGGTCGCTGTTGCGATCGGATGTGTCGCGTGATTCGTTGCGCTCGTGCTCGCGTTTCGCGTTTGTATGCAGTTGCGCCTCGTTGATGAGTGCGCGGTCGAGAGAGAAAGAGAGAGAGAGAGAGAGAGAGAAGTACACACACCACAGCACATCCTACATCCGGCGCGGGATATTTCCATCCAGCATCCAGTGATACGTGATCTAGCGGGGTCAGTGTATGGTGCGTGGTGATCTCCGCGAGGAAATGTGTCGTCGTTGGCCGATCGGCCATTGAAAAGTACAAAACCGCTCTGCCAACCGCTGCGCCATCCCGTTCGAACGCAATTCTCTCTTACGTGGGAAAAGGATCTACATTTCATCCACGATCCACGGACGAAATGACGGTCGCTGGAAAGGTAAACCTGCCGGATCTAACTATCCGTCGCGAGAATTACCATATCGCAGAATTTCCGACGTATCTCTCGGAATACGTTCGACGAGATCGCTCGGATCTACGAATCGCAAAATGTGTGTCCAAACTCATATTTCATTTGTCTCTGTGGTTTTTCTTTTAAGAAACGGTCGGGTGAAGAAGGAGCTGTGTCATTCGTTTTCAACTATTATTTATTTTCACTGTTAGTTCATTTTTCATTTCAATCTCAGTTTAATTTACTCTTTATTCTTTTTTCTTTTTATTTTTAGAAATTTCTAGATTTCCTAAAATTGAAAACAAAATAAGTAATTAAATTTAATAGAAATGGATAGAAGTTTCCAATACTCTCGGCTTATCGCTGTCGTTTATCGCTTCAATGCTCCTTTACAAACATTGATGCTCCAGGTCCCCTTGGTTTGTAATTTATCGATATAATGAACGCAAATCCTGGATTAGAGATCCAGCTTTCTTCTTCTCTTTTATTACAACCGGTAAATAATTTCGACTATAATATAATCGTGGATATGGAAGGTAGGATGATATAGAGATGCCGTGGTTTCGTCCGCTTTTCAAAACTTGTCATTTAACAAACAACTTAAACCTAACTTTACTTTAATAACTTTTACACTGTACGCGAAAGAAATTTATTAGCGGATTTACAATCCGCTTTCTATTTCGAATACGATGCCGAATTTCGGCACGCGCGCGCCTACTATCGCACTTCTCGCCATCATGGCGTGATGTTACAGTCGTAATCGGGCTGACGTTAAATCGCTGACTATAATTATACGAGCGATTAGCTGTCATCCGGTTTACATCGGGCCGTCACACTCGGCCGCTAATTGTCCGTCCGATATCACCGATAAATTGGCCGACAAGACGGTGACGGAACAGACTGGTGAGCGAACTTTTGTTTTTCCTCGTGGAAATCACGCCGTTCTATAAAAATAGTCACGTGAATATGCTAAACGACAACGGAGTCGATGTTTAAATATCATTCAATATCATTAGGAATCGCATTGATATATAAATTTACGTTTCTTTCCTCGAAATAATCCCGATCTAATTCTTTTAATCATAGGCTTGACCCTCGGTCAGCTCGATATAAATTTTTTCAAATGTGATAAACAATTGGAAGAAATCATCAGCCATTATTCGGGAGCAGAAAGTCTTAAATGCTAAATATATTTACATGAAATAAATTTAAATATTTATATCACCAATCACGTGCCACTATTTTTAGCAGACTTTAGCAACGTAGCGGTTCTATATATATATATAATTTGATATTATATGCCTTTATTATCCCCCTCAACAGAAAATTTTTCAAATCTGCAAAGCTATAAGGATTCATCTGCACATAGAAAACGATTTCTTTGGATTTAATAAATTTCATTAGATTTTAAAGAAATTTTTTTTTTTTTTAAATAATCCAAGTAACCTAATTATTGATCACAATAAATTCGAGTGTTTGATTTTTCAAATAATAAATAGCTTTATTTCAAATTTGAAGAAGCTCTTTCTTCGAAACAATATTCAATCTAGCCAAAATATTATTTAGTTCAAAGATAAATTTTATTTTCTTTAAATAATAATGTTTTTCTTTCTTCTGTTAAACAACATGACTATACTTTGACGAAGCTGCAAAACTCTTAACAAAACGATATTTAAATATGATAAAATTATGTTGTTTAAATTAATTAATTTTCAAGTTAAATAAATATAATTGTTAAATCTGAAGAAACCTTTTTCTTAGTATAGTATGCCAGCGTGAAAAGACTTTTGGCAATTTAGACTTTGGAAAGAAAACTGGAAAGGGGGGCTTTTGAGAGAAATTTGAGTCGAAATTTTAGTTTTAGAATACTTATTTGATACACGAATACATTATTAAAAGCGGGAAAATGCGATGCGATACGAAATGGCTTCCTCGACCTTCCTCGATGTTTCTCCGCTAAAAAAGAAAAATTGATCGAGATAAGAACTAAGAATATCCGGGTGTTGAATGTTGTCTTTTAATTATTACGGGATGCTTCGTTCGAAAGAGGGGAACATAGAGACTCGATCGCGATCAAACGATATATTTTGCGCTCTCGTTTGGTGAATGTGCGCTCTCGAAGGCGCGCTTCCGGGTTGGAATACTTGACATTCTGCCTTTCATGCAAGCGAGCAGGAGAAAACGGCCAAGTGGACACAGCCGCCGCGCGCCGCGAGTCGATCGGACTCGCATTAATCATTCGAAACTCAGCCCGCGCGCCAGTCCGCTCGGACTCGTTGGAAGTGTGTCAAATCCGGTTGAATCCCGTACCACGCCTTGTTGTGTGCCGTGTGCGGCAAGGATGAGCAGCATAGAGACACGATTGCCGCACGGTAACGGATACGGATACGCGAGGCCATTCCTTCCGGAGCGGTCGGTTCCACGGATCTTTGTCCGTCGTGATCCAACCAAACAATTTACTATTACTGTTCATCGATTATTTATTAATTGTTTTAAGGATGAATTTAAGACGATTACGATTTCAAATAAACTTACTATTCTCCAAGTAAAAACGTGGAAAACTCGTGAAATTCTCAGAAAATCTTGTATTTTACTCTCAGAGGATCTCGTAGAATTTTATTCGGATTCAAGAAATTTTTCTTGAAAATTCGTTTTTCTATTAAATTTAAAATTTTTTATCCCCTTCAAAAAAAAATTTTGAATGTTTCCGACTGTCACTAATTAAAGATTAGCAAAAATGGAGGGAGTACTTCGTCGTGTCGGTTATCAAAGATCTCGGATAAAATCCCCCCAAATCCCCAAAAGTCATCCATTTTATCAAATTGTATGAATACACTTCCCATTCATCTAATCATTGCAAAATTGCAATGTTTGCAAAGGGCCATTCACGAACAGCGTTATTCTATTACCAAAGTGAGATTGTATGAATTGCAAATGGACATTACAGCCATACGATCTATCAGATCTTTCTCATTTTTTATCAAGATTCACGCATTCATGTAGCCACTTTGGTTAGATTTCTTCATATTTTATCTTATATGAATATGTTAAATTAGATGACGATTGGTTTTGTATCACAAAATTTTTTCAATTTTTCATACTTCTCTTACATATACTCATTTAACAATATCTTAGAGATGCTATTGCCTCATTTGAACGCCTCATTTATTCACCTATATTTGTTGATAATTCTAAACATCATTTGATATCGTTTAGAGCTCATTTTCAACTCATTTATAACAACTTAGAGACAAATCTTTTTTTATTATAATTGAATTTTGCAATGCTAAAATGCTGAGTTTAAATTTATAAAAATGATACATATGTAGAGAACAAATATCAGATGTTGTACAAAATTTTTAAAATCTTATGCAAACTTTATTTTTAATAATTACTTTCTTAGGCTTGATCCACATTTTAAATGAAATAACAGGATAACCACTAAATTAAAAAATAAAACAAAATAACAATAATTTTGATTGAGAGGATGACCAAATTTTTGATATTGTATTTTAAGTAAATGGTTAATATCTGAGATAATATTTACAGAAAGATGAAACAACAATCTCAATTTACAGCCGGACATAGAATAATCACATCACGTATATATGTCAGTCATAAATAAATTATAAATATATTAAGTCTTCTTCTAGATTTACGAAGATTTACGAAGATTTGTGACTTTCATTATGACAGGCATTTCTTAATTCTTAATTTGAGATTTAGCACATGATTTTTTTTATTTACAAATTTTTATTTTATTTACTTTGTGTCGATTGATTAGTTTTTAATCATTATTACTTTAATTATTTTTATATCATAATATTTGTGTTAATTATTTTTTCTCGTGGAGTTTACTTTCCTTGTGCTAGTTCGATTTTCAAGTCTAAATAAAACTATTAACGACATTTTCGTTTTTAAACATAAAATGTCAGCACTTAAAAATTTATATAAAAATAATTAAAAATCGGAATTATTACAAAATTTATCTATAAGCTAGCAAAAATATTTTGACGAAAAGATGTGATAAAGATGCAAATTCGAAAATAGTATATTTCGTGAGCGATTAATTTTAAAAACGTTTTGGCACACAAATAAGACCAACAACTAATTTACCAATTAAGCAAGTTAGTGATCAATACGACATAAAAAATTGCGCATTCAGAGAAAAAAGTCATTAGAAATTTATACACAAGTAGCGCCTTAATTAATTGTATAATAAAGTTATAACAAGAATAATTAACAAGTTATTTATATTTTATAATCAAGAAAATATAGTAATATTAATTATTAGTAAGAAATCGTTAGGCTCTGTGTATAATGGAGGAAATATTAGGAATAGGAATAAATATTAAATTTTAGAAATAAAAATTCAGAATGAAAATTAAACGTAAATAGAATATTTTAGTGCAGTTCAATGCAGCGACAAATAATAGACCTTTTGTAACCAACAAATAATAGACCTTTCAAAATATTTTTTTTGTTTTATTTTTAAGGTGATTGTATCACTTGTAATGAAATATTTTTCTTTAAAATGCATCATATATAAACTTACATTTAGTATATAATAAAAAAAAATAAATTGCTTATTTTAATAATTATATAAATTGATAAAAAATAATAAATTAATATCATTTATCTATAATTATATATATTATTATTATATATATTATTATTATAATTATAGTAATAAGTTATATAATACCTATAAATATACACAAATAATAAAATTTTTAAATTTCTATGTTATTTGAAGACTTAAAATAGTAGAATCTAAGTTCTTTATATATTATGAAAAAAACGAATACTTGACATGAATTATGAGTCTACTATTTTATATTTATCACTTTTTGTTACCTAGATGATAAAATATAAGAATAATATTTAAAATAATGATATTCTGAATACATATTATGCAACTGTTTGTAATGGATATCTATCGAAATTGTTTTATTATTTCCTAGTTTTCTATTGTCTTTTCTAGGAAAAACGAAATAATTCCGAATTCGGATTCTATTCTAAACAGTTCCATTCTAATCCTAGTTTTAGGATTTTATTGTCTAAATATAATGTCAAAATAAAAAAGTTTGCACATTGGCTTGATATATGTCGATATTCACGTTTATTGTCTTTCTTTTCGGTTCTTTTCTTTCTTCCAAAACTGTTATTGAAAAAAATAGAAGATAAATGAGAGTAAAATGCCCGAATGCGTTCGAAAAAATGAAAGTAATCCGTCTTTTGGAACGTGTTGAATAGACTTCAGGAGTAAAAAGAAACTAGAAAGAAAAACATTAGTGAGAAGCAGAAGCCGCTTATTGACAGGACAGTTTTTTTTTTCGAAATTTTTTTCTTGTATATACAATTTAATAAAAAACAACATTAATGGCATATTAAATAATGGTATATAGTTGCCATCTCACACCACACACACACACACACACACACACACACACAATTTTTATTTATGTAACGTCATGTCACATCATGTCTCTTTTCAGCCTATTCGCTTTTTCCATCAATCGCAATTTATTCATGATTGCCTCGCACAAAACGCAGTGAGAATTTTTAGGTGGAGGAAGTATGAAGATTTCTTTTTTAACTTTAAAACATCTCCGAGTGATAGGCGAGGAATCAATCAAAAACGTTCATATCATTTTGGAACAACCATTGAGTAAAATTTTTCTCGAAAGCAATACTTTGGAAAATGTAGCAAGGGAAAAATGTGATTAATGGGGAAATGGGGTTAATTTTGTAAAAATTTATAATTTTATAAATTTGTTATAATTTTGTCAATTCTATATTTGATGGTATCCAAAAATTGTACGTTGATTTGACAACGTTGTACGTTCTTTTACAACAAAGTAAGAATAATGTTGTGCTGTCGAGAGAGTCAGCGCTGGAGAGAAAGTGCACAACTAAGAAACTTTCTTCGAAAAATTGACGTCTTTTAGTTGCTCTACTTTTTTCGCGGACATTCTAATAGAATTCAAACTAGCATCCGCAAACGTAGTTTATTTACTGACATTTTGACAATCAGATTAAAATGTACATCTGCGATGTATATTTATATCGCTCCAGAATGTTCTCGTATAGAAGATTTGTAATTTGTTGCAATTGATCAAATATTTGCCATTTGTTATAATTTGTTGCGCAAAGGAAGAATCTCTTTTTTTATTCTTTTCTTCCTTCTTTCCGATTCGATATCAATGTCCATACAGGAAACGCGAAGAAGGCCGGCAATGAATGTCTCCGGCAAATCCCATGACGCAACTCGACGACCACAAAAACGTACATTGAAATTCATTAATATTTTAATAATGTATGTACGTGCATAGGACGAGGTCAAACGTTCTCATTCTTATTAATACGTGTATTGACAACCGAATTTTACGCGGGAGTTACGGTGAATATATTAAAAAGTGTAATACACAGAATTTATATATTTGTAGATTCTTATATCTGTTTAATGCACCATTGGTATGCATAAAAATAAAAGAGATAAGAATTTCCTCCCCTTTTTTTTTCTCCTATAGAATTTCAAAAGAGCGGAGATTTGAATTTCGGTATCACTTCCACATTTGATCAGAACTGAATAGAAGTGATTCGATTGTTTTTCTCGCTTTCTCTCTCCTTGTTCTTCTCTCTGTCTGTATATATAATATTCGCATATGCCACGTACACGTTGTCCATCGTTGCTCTTCACATGTACCCGATACACATTAAGCTAGATCCGGGAGTGGTGGGCGACGATGCAAGGTTGTCGAGAAATTCGTCGCGGCATGCTCGCAACACTGCCAACTCTGTTTCGGATTTTGCAACCAGCCGATGTTTCAGTTCTATGAACTGAGAGGAGAAATTCCCGAAATTATGACTTTTACGGAGAAATATCATAATTGGTAACGCGATTTTCGCATTATTTGTATTGTAATTAATCAGAATTGAGAAAATTATTTTATAAAAGTAACTAGTGCAATTACAGTCCCCTTCCCCTTCCCCCAAAGATTATTTACAAATCCGTTACAAATTACCGACTTTGAAGAATAATATGGTTACTCAAATAATAACGAGTTGTTATTTTTCAATTACTTTTCTGTTAATTTCTTGTAATATTTGTATGCATAATTATTTTAAATGCGACTTTTATATTTTTAATTCAATAATTTTACTTATTATTTTATTTGATTATATTATGTTATGCCATTTTATAATAAATCACAATCATTTTTAAAAAACTTAAAATCAATATGTATATATGTATTATCGTAATAATTTATTATAAATTAATATATATATTTAGAATCAAAATTACGTGATCAATATTTTTTATGTAAAATTTTTGCCAAATTCAAAGAATCGTAACTTCACGAAAAATTACCATAAACCAATAGTTTGAAGCTTTTTTAAAGAATAAAATCTCAACTTTGATGTTTATGTGATAGTTATTTATCATTAAGTAATTATATAATTATAAAAATTTTATATTTTTATATTTTATTATACTTTTTCTTATATAGTTTTCTTTTATAGTTTTAGGTAGTTTGCGTATACTTCTTTTCCACATTTCAGAATGAAAATATATAGTGTCATTAAATTCTGATTCGAAGCTTCAGAGTAAACACACCTATGAAAAATTATAAAAAAATATATTTCTGTTATGTCACTCGTGCATTTTGAGAGTGATGCAAAATTGTTATTTTTATTTTACACCTGCAATATTACGTTTCGCTGATGGACCAAGTGATCTGTGCCCCCATCCCCCCTGCCTCTTTTCCCCTATTCCCTCTCTGCGCTTGTTTTTCTCTCCCCTCTCTTCCTTCTCTTCTCCCTTCTCTCTTTTTGTTTCCCTTCCTTTCTTTCTCCCTTCCATATCCTCTCGCGTCTCTACTTTCACCTGAATCTCTGCTAATGGTTTCATCCGCCAACATGGGAGAACTATGCCCTATTTACGATAATTTCTCAAACAGGAGACGAATTACATGAATTTTTTTTACGCGATTATTTTGCCAAATGCTTTTAGCAGTTATATAAGGGTATTAAAAGAAAATATTAAATGAAACATATTGAAGGATGAATATGAAGTAAAACTTTATATTTAGAAAAGATTCTTTACAATTTAAAGTTCTTTTTTTCTTTGTAATTTTGTTACTTTGTTGCTTCGTTTTTTTAATTTTCGTTATTTATAGTAACAATTTAAAATGGGCTATTATATCACGTACTCAAAGGATCTATTTCTATTTCGTGTAATTGTCGTTATCTCGTTATTTCAGACGTAATTTGGAGTAGAAGTTGGATAATTTGAATTTGTTTAAGGAAATAATAGTTTTACATTTACATTTTACATAGAATGCATGCATATTGCAGCATATCTAGAAGCTTTTTAAATTGTATTTGTATAATTTTGAAAATGAATTTATTCGATAAATTAAATATGTTACGAATACGTTATTTTTTATATCGTCGAAGGATATCGTCGATAAGTAATAATTTAAATAATAACTGGAACAATAAGGAATGATTCAAGTTTATCTTGAATATATCGATGTATCGATTAAAATTATATAAAAATTATATTTAATTACATAAAGTTATTTTTTTTTTTTTCAAATATTTCTCAGTACATATTTTGAATAATATAAATATATACATAACTAAATTAATAAATCAAATGTTAATTTCTAGTAAAAATTTAATTGTCTAATAATGCTTAATTTTTCATAATTATTTTTGATATATTAGAAATGTTACTGCATAACAATTATCTAATTACATTTAATTTTTAATATTGAATTGTAATATTTATATAATATTAATGCAATGTTAAAACTGCAACGTATAAATAAAATGAATTTTTTATGAAATATACTTACGTTAAAAGTTACTTTTAAAGGGATACATTACAGAAAAATCCTTTTTTTAATTTGAAAAAAAAAAGTTCAAAATTTCACTACATTTTGACATTTCTAAACATCTTTTGTTCTCAGAATTTTTTTGTTCTAAGAATTCTAAAAAAGTCCATACATTTAATTGAAAGTATTCATTTTGTAAAGTTATTCTTGAAACCAATCGCGCGCGCGTGTGTGCGTGTGTGTGTGTCAATATATTTGTGTACAATAATAGCCAATCAGATTTAAACACTTTACTTTGTTTCATTGTCCCGCAGTGATATGTTCATTTCCTATATTTCTATGTCCACGGTTGGACAAGGCTTAAATTAGGCTAAAGATTTTAAGGTGACTGACTAGATATGCTCGCTTTCACTATAATTTATTCAACTCGAAAGAAATATTTCGAATTTTATTAAAATCTTTCAAGAATACATTTATAGATATCAATCTTTCGACAAATGTAAAAGAATTTTGTTTTCTAGAAATATTACTATATATATCTCATAAATCTCATAAAAAATATTTTTAATTCATATTTTCTTAAATAAGTATACTTTTTGAATTAATGAAACAATCACAACGGTGTCCTTTTCTTTAAAATTAAAAATTTTTCGTTTTTTTTTGAAATACTAATTAAAATATTTTACTTTAATTTCTCTAAAAATATAATTTGAAGAAAGAACGCTTTTTCAAAATTTTTATTGATTTTTTATGCGTTAACTTGATTATATTTTCAATTTTTTTGTTTATAAATGTACTTTTTGTTATTTTCAGGAATACTATTGTAAGCGAAAGTCAGTACTCCCCATTTTTTATTTTAATTTCCTGCGAATGGATAGAAGCAACAAATTCGTGACTGTAACAATAAATTAGCATTTAATTAAAGTTAACATTTAATTATGCCATAGATTTCTTTAATGGTAAAGGTTCCAGGTTCATAAAGATGTCTTTATCACGTGTAGCATTTTTAATCTTAAGCATTGCAAACACTTTCTCATGTCTGATGTAGAGATACATAGACTGCACAGTACTGGGTACGGGCAACATGCCGGACACCGAGGACTCCTCGTACGACAGCGATTACGAGGTCGAAGACTCGATGACGACAATGGCGACGACGACGATGACGACAATGACGACGACAGCAGCAACGCGGCATCCACGCTCGGAATCGCAGGTGTCTTCGGCACATCAGGATGTATCTCGCACTACATCTGATACCCTGGCGGCCGAATTCGCGGAGTACGTCACCATTCAGGGACCGTCACCTACCCAGAGTCCAGGGTACACCGCTCGCGTGGAATTCGCTCTTAAATTGGGCTACACTGAAAAATTGGTACAGGCAGCTCTACAAAAACTAGGCCCGGACCCGGGTCAGAACGAATTGCTGGCTGAACTGATCAAACTTGGGGCTACTTGCTTTCCAAGGTTTACCGATGGTCCTGATGAGGCGGACAGTCTGCTAGACATTGATGTGGCCACCGATGAAGGAGGATCGATCCTTTCGACAACGGCGACGAATACCGCGGCAACAAATGCCATCTCTTCGATGGATCTAAGGCCCGTTGTCATCGACGGCAGCAACGTCGCTATGAGTCACGGCAACAAAGAAGTGTTTTCCTGTCGTGGCATCAAGATCTGTGTCGATTGGTTTCGCGCCAGAGGCCACAAAGAAATCACCGTCTTCGTGCCCAAATGGCGGAAGGAAGCCTCGAGACCTGACAATCCTGTCGCCGACCAGGAAATCTTGGGCGAGCTCGAGAAGGATCGTTTATTGGTCTTTACACCTTCCAGGTCAGTTCGACAATCATGTGAAATTTGCCTTATTTCGGGATATTCAAGAAATATATATATATATATATATATATTTCTATATTATATATTATATTTTATATATATATATATATGTATATTTCAAAGTTTACATTTACTTATCAATCTCTAAGAGAATGAAAAGTCTCTTAAATTCTTAATTTTTTTAACGGAAATACAAACTTTTATAGATTGGTGGGTGGGAAGCGTATGGTATGCTACGACGATCGATACATTCTAAAGCTGGCAGCAGAAGTCGATGGCATCGTCGTCAGCAATGACAACTATCGAGATTTAGCACAAGAAAATCCCGAGTTCAGAAAAGTTATTGAGGAAAGAATCCTCATGTACAGTTTTGTAAATGATCGATTCATGCCACCGGACGACCCACTTGGCAGAAGTGGACCTACTCTGGAAAACTTCCTCAAAATCACTCCCAAAAAAGTCGATTCCGCACCTCCGTGTCCTTATGCCAAGGTAATACTTTTTATCTTTATTCTTTTTAAATTTCAAAACTAAAAGAAGCTTTTGCTAAAAATTGAGAAATAAAAGTCACATCTTAAATCGAAACATTCCTTATTAAATTGAAAGATTATATAAAATCATTTTAGCTCTCAATTAAATTAATTGGCCTTTTCTTGAATTTCCAGAAATGTACATATGGTAACAAGTGTAAGTTTCGACATCCCGAAAGAGGTCCACTCCCGCTTAAATCTGTAACTGAGCGACTGGTGGAACACGCTCAACGTCACTTGCAGGCTCGTGGTCCGAGTTTGAGTTTGCCACTACCGTCCACAAATACGCCCGTGTCTTTACAGCACCCGCCACTCTGTAAAACTAGATCGGCCGTACCGCCGAATGTCGTTCAATCATTATCGTCTGTCCCGAAAAGCAGATCGGTAGAGAACGTCACGTCTGATTTATCTGCAACTAGTCTCGCCATTTACAGTCAGCAAATGCCTTCTACACAAAATTCTCAAGGTAATAATTGTAAAAGATAAACACTGGATATAGTATTATTTATTAATTATTTAATATAAAAGTAAGAATAATCTCTTTTTTAATACAAGAGAATTCTTTTCTTTCTCTCTTATAATATTTCATCATTGAATGATTCGAATAATTTAATAATCATATATTTCTGTCAAAGGTTATTCATCAACGATGAACTGGACTGCGCCAAGAGTAAACAATCCTGAGCCAGAACCGGTGAATATGCATCGCAAGTTGCAACGACAGCTAACTCTGAATCCAGCGTGTGATCCACGACTTTATCAATTCAGACAATATCATCAGCAACAACAGCAGCAACAACAACAAACTGGTCAGTCATCGCAGCAACAAGCAATCATCAGTCCACCACATTCCATGCAACATCGATCATTGGCAAGACATGCCAGCAATGAGTCAACGTATCCAGCTATGAGGTAAGTCTTTATTTAAATATATTTATCATTTCAAAGTATGAGTTTTATCGTAACACATTCGTAAGATCTATACATTTTAGACGATATCAACATATTTTTGTATTCTATTTCAAACACGATTTTATTTAATCTTTATAATATTCTCTGAATTATTTTCTTGAACGAAATTATTTCATTTAACGAAAAGAAATCTCAAGTCAGAGTAAATTGTGCAGACGACTGCATAGCATGAAGAGAAAAATTGCATCACAAACGGTGTCTCCCAGTCGCTTTTCGAGAGTATAAGTCAAGCTTCGGGCATTCGCGATTTTGTCCGAATTATATAATGCGTGGTACTCGTAGTAACATTATGGAAATTAAAATTAAAACTTAAGATAAGGGTAAAATGAATAAGGATGAATGAGCTCCTAATTTTTACCGCGTCGCTGTATCGCTACCATCAAACGCGAAATTCTTAGCCGAGTACGCGGGAATCTTAATAATATAAATTATTTTGAATGAATTATTAAAGAAATTTCCAAGATCCCTATCAGTCTCGCCCTGTTCCACGGCCATTAATTATCTAAGCATAAAATTACATGTATTAATTATTTTAATGATGCTAAGGTCGATCTTTAATTTCTAATTTGCTTTAAAAAGTAAAAGCAAATATAATTCAACTAAAATTTCATAGAATGAAATGATTTAACTTAGTCTTCTTATATCTGATTTCAGCTGGGACCACCCCGATTGTTTTCAACATCATCACCAGCACGTAATGCGTATCGCTTCCGCACCTGATTCTTATAGAGCATGGCCGCGGAGTACTCCTCTGGTGCCGCCGTCACGGGTACAAAGATTAGGCACCTCTGATCCCCAGCTGAATCTCTTACCATTGCCATCATCTACGAGCTTACACATGCCTTGGGGCACGCAAACTCAGGACGTTCGACGACGTCTGCATTATCATCTTGCTAACATTTTTCCTGAAGAGCAGGTGCAGACTGTGATGGCACTTCATCCCCATGAGACCGATCCCCAACAGATTTGCGCCACCATCCTGGCAATGTTTCCCAAGAATCAGAATTGATGCAATTGTGAATTTTGCACAAAAAAAGTTTACGAGTTGAAACATTGACTTAAGGAAACAGCTTCTATGTAGCGTCCTCGTATTTATTTTTGTGGGTACATCATATATCATAGAGGAACCTTCCATGCAAAACATTTAAAATTACTGGTTACAATTGATCGAATTGCTATAGATATTTGTTTTTTGAGTGTTTATGCTTTATTCTCTCTTTTTCTTTTCTGAAATCTTGGAATTTTAAAATTTTAATGCGTTTTCGTCCTGCTAGCCGAAATAAGCTAGTATTTCGCGGATCGAGAAAGCGAGAGATTAAAATTAACAACTCAACATAAGAATCTAAGAAATGTCTTAATTTTTTAGACGTCTTCTTAGATTTTTGTAATGTCTCGAAATAATTAATGAGAGAAAATCGGTCGTGCATATCGAGCGCGTATTAGTTTAGGGCATTACAACGCGAGCGTTTATTGTTACATTATTCGGAGTTATTTACGAAAATAAGAGAATATAAGAGCATGTATTTTAATCTGTCGATTTTTAATTACAATAAACTCGTGTCAACGATTATCGTCTCACATTGAGCCGATCAACTTCCGTCTTCACGACCGCATTCGCGAAATCGTCTTGCTTCTTCATAAATTTGTTTATTAGATTTGAACAAAGTTTATAGAATATATAATTTATTATAATAATGATGGTATAGAATTTTATATATTATAGAAATAATTAGATTATAGAAATAAATACAACAATTATTCAATTATTGTAAAAAGACCATTTAATAAATAGTTATCAATTTATCTGTTTTATCATACAAAGTACAATCTATTATCTGAAAAAATTATTACATGTGTGATGAGCTGAAAAAGATATGATATAATTTTCGGCAAGACGATACTGCGAAAATTGGTCGTTTATATTAGCGGCTGTGAATTATGGAAAACCCGTATATATACGTACAAATAATTATATACTTATACGTTACATATGAAATTATAAAAAATTATATATACACATATACATGCATATAAAGCAATGTGTATATAAATATATCTGTATATCGCCTGGCGATATTAATAGTTCATATTAAATATAGTACAGAGGATTCAATTATAGTCAACAGAATCGAATTTCTTTGAAGTTAGATCCGATATTTTTCTTTTGACAATATCGAAAAAATTGATTCTTGTTGATTATAATTGAAAATATGTATATACGCACGAAGCATTTTGGTGACCTGAAACAGGACAAGTATATCGTGCAAATTGTACGAAGATTAATATTTAACTAACTTTTATATCGTTGTGTTTTCACCTCATATTGAAGAATATTGTATAATATTTTAATCTATTGAACTGTCAATTACATACTGCTGTTGAAATCTGCGAAGAAAAAAGATTAATTTCAGAATCTTATTAATCATGATGTATTTATGAAGAGAAACTTTATGAAGAGAACTTTAATTTAATTTTCAGATTTTGTTTGAAATAAAATAAAAAAAATTTTCTATTTTTTATTTAGGAAATATAACGGACATAAAATATAAAAGACCTTTATTAATAATTTAATGAGCTGAGATTAATCTTTTTAGGTTAAATGTTTACTTTTATAGTAAACGAATGTATTACGATATTTTTACTAACAAAAGAAAAGAAATGTGTGTTAATCTGAAATAAGATTTTTTAATGTTATTTTATAAGAATTATTTAAAAATTATAAAGATTATGCGTGTATGTGTGACAAATCATATATAAAGTAAATCAACGAAAGTAATAAATTTAAAAAATGAATATTTAAAGAAATAGATATATTTTACAATTTATAATTTATATATTTTATAATTTATATTTAAAGTTTGTTAATAATATAACAGAGTTATACTATGATAAAGGATTTTTATAGCTTTTCCGAAGATCGCGCGATCTTTTTGCCTCCCTCTCACCTTTCTTCCAAATCTCCCTCTATGTTTATTTAACACAAATGCTATAAAATTTTAATATATATGAAGATATATACATACATGTACGTGTGTGACATGTGTATACATATGTATATGATAAATTACTCTTCCTTTCCCTCGGAATCGCAATACCGTGTATTGCTGAAAATCCGCGCATTATGAAGCGAATATTGTGTTTTATCATACCTAACAAAGAAACAAAAAGTAAAACATTTATTATTACATTATTAAAGAGAAAAAAGCGATAATCGTTTCATTTATAAAGAGCGATTGTTATTATTTTTATAATTCGTGTTAATCTATGAAATATTTGTGCATGTATCTCAGATTAGTATCAATGTTATTGCGAATGTATATTGCAAATAAAGGTTTTTTTATTTATATTGTCAGCATTTTTGTAATTTTGTCATATGCAATGAAAAGATGATGATTTTCACTTCTAAAAATCAAATTACTTATATCCACGTTTTTGTTGCAAATTAACATTAATCTCGAATTAATCTATCTTTTTCTAATTCTTAGAACCAAAAAAGATAGTAAGTTAAATTAAAAATTAATCTAGAAATGAATATTAAGGCATTAAGACTCTAAGTCTAACATTATAGCGATAATTAGTCACCAGATACAACATATAGACAAATATTATTCTTATCATTTATTTTCACTTCCTTTCTGATTAATGAATCGCGTGAAATCTCACGTTGTAGATCATCAAAAAAACCATTAAGTAAAATTGTTAGCATAAACGACGAATTAGCTAAACCAGAAATCTGGTAGATCGAGGAATTGAGGACATAAAATAAAACGCATGATTAACGAATCGTCGAATAATTTTATTATAAATGTAGTTATGAATATATTGTGATAAGAATGTGACAAAAATGTATCTCGTCAATATTAACGCATTAATTATATACGCGTACTTTTTGCCAATAACAATGTGTCCCAAACGTAGCAAATGTCATAGTTCATATGAGAATAAATAATTGCTCAATTGCAATCGAACAATAAATATTCGTTGTATGTTCATGTTTTCTTCCGATTCGAAGCAATATAAGCATATTTCTTAAAAAAAACCATATGTATAAATTTTGACCCTTTGAGTATGATTGATGGGCCTATATATAAAAAAGTTATCTGTCTTTGCTCATATACATGCATTTAACAAAAATTATTAATGGATTATACATATTTGCATGTGTTCGACAATGTCTTCAAATTTAAAATTCTTAAATAAAAACGCTATTAAAAATGCAATAATCATTGTTGAGCACAGTATGCACATCTACAAAGAGCGTTCAACTTCAAAGTGTTCCGTGCTCAAAGAGCAAACTAATTAGATAATTATATTACACATTATATTACATTACTTTAGTATTTACCGCGATTGAGATGC